CATTATGCAAGATAACTAAATAGTAAAACCTGCCATGAATGCCCGACTCACTTTGCACTCTGTTGTTGCCTTTTTTTAACATTTTCGGTTTCTTTTCTTCCTCGCTCTAAAGGAGACGCCGGTAATTCTTTTGATAAAAATAACAAGGCTCGATTTTTAACAAGTGAAAGAGACGAGTACCAGTGCCCTAAGACACTTGGAGCTTGGTGGTTTCCCGAAAATAACTGTGGTAACTCCAACCTTAACGGTGAATTCCAACATGGAGATGGTTTAAGATGGACACACTGGAGTAAATATCAGCCTGGAATCTCAGCCACCAAAGTTGACATGAAGATTAAGCCGGATTGCACAGAATAATTTTTTTGTTGTTGTTTAAGGTGTCATGTGTTTTCAAATATGTCCGTAAATAAAATTTGACAATCAAACTTATCTGCAATGTGCAAGCTCTTTGGAAGGGTAGATATAGTTTATTAATTGGGTTAGTATATACTAAAACGGTGGAGAACACTGAGGGCACACTCTGATAGGCTATTGAAACTCCCAATATATTTTACTGTTCACCTCTGATAAACTCGCGCGGGCTTCGCGGCTCAATAAGTATCCGCTACTAGCCACCGACACTGAGGTGAATAATTTTAAAGTAGGAAAACAATTGGACCGACGGAACGCAGCAAGAACCGTGGGTAATGACCGCCCGTGATGACCGTAATGACCGTACTAACAAGAGAGAATTGCAATCATACCCTTCAATATTCTGCAAGTGAAAATACTAATCTGCAGGTTAATCAACATCTAAAGGTGTAGTCTGATCGTCCGGGTGAGTGTAGTCCTGAGAAGGACTGTTGTCAACATCGACGAACGCAAAATGAGAGGTCACTTCTACTTTCTTTCACCCACTGTAAGTTAGGAATAAACAAGTGTTAATTTAATGCTTTTTGGATAGTATTATTACTTATCCTCAATGAGCACTTACAATTGCCAAAGTCGATTAGAATGGTAATTTACGTGTCAAAGAATAATACTTCAAGGTTAATAACAGATACTCTTATTTCCAATTTTTACACCTGCTTTCCTTGTATCTGCATGTGAAGGCGTTAATAGCGTTCAATCACCAAAAAAAAGTCATTCGTCCTGTCTCTTACAACATCCGCGTCGTTGAGCTCACGCAACACCTTCTGAACGCCTATACTTTGCTTATTTCAAATTCGCAATAAGATCAAAACTAACAAAAACTACCAAACTAACCGAAATACAACCAAGCCTACAATTCAGTCACTTATTTCCTACCGTTATTGTCACCCTTTCAAAAAGAAACGAAATAAATATTTCATTCCATATTTCAGCTTTAAGGACGGTGCCTGGCAAAAGAGATATAATTTTTCCCGGTCATTGACTATGCATAATTAATTGGGACCGACTGGAGTCCAATTTGAATTGCATTAAATACTCAGGCTCAAATAGTGCATGGTGTTCTTAAATATGCTGATATCCAGACTAAACATTGATATACATGTAAGGAATTGGTCACTAAATGTGTGAAATTTAAAGGTTGGGAATGTGGACAAGCAAGGGGATCTGTAATCATACAAATGATTAACAAATTCTGACGAACATGAAGCGGGAGTCCGATTGTCAATCACGAACATGGTTACAGATCGAATTGGACGACTCGAAGTTCCATTACCAATTAATCATAATCGTTATAATTTCTCAGAAAAAGAACTGATGACGTTGAATTTTTGATAAGAAGTAAGGATAATACCATCTCCCCATCAATTCCATTTAAATTTAATTTGATGTAAAAAAAGTTAAAAGTACATTTAAAAATATTTCAACTAACAAAAAACAAGATACCGCCACCCCATTGAGGGCCTCAATGGGGTGGCGGTTTTTACGGTTAACAATGAAAAGTTTGGCCAATTT